CTCATGAGTTTGTTGCACAATCCCTCCTATTACTGTAGGAGTACTGTAAAATGCTTTTTGCTGTCATCTTTATTAAACAGCAAACTTGGCCAGCTAGAAGAGTATTAAGGCCAGAAACTCTGTTCCCACACTTGTGTCTTCTTTCATATTTACGCTAACAATGATCTTATGCTACAGATGAAGTTGAGGATAGAAGGTGAACTTGAGAAACCTGTAGGACATTAGAAGAGGAAGAAATGGAACGAATTAAAATTTAGAAGTTGTACAGCCCCTGCCAGAATCCCCTGAATATAGTGTGCCCCTGCTCGGGGCTTGTGTTACAATTAGCATTTGAATGCAGTGCTGAGACCCACCTCATTGACTGGGGGCCCTGATACCTGTGTACCTCTTGTCAGTCTGTTCCCCTGGACATACTGCCAGACATACTGCCTTAGGACATAATTATAGCCTTTCCCTGTGTAGTTCTGATGCCCCGAGGGCCACACACCTTTCCTATTTGGTAGCTTGGCCCTTTGTATTAAAACACTGATACAAATAGGTGCCTGTTGTTGAGAAAGGTGCTATCTGCAAACTTCCTCACACCAAGACAGAAGCCCACTCTGCCTCTTCTTTCTTCTGACTTGCCCATTCCAGGTTTCTTTTCCTTTTTCCTGAGCAGCTGCTGAGGCCCTAGCAAGCCATCTGGCTAAAACAGTGGGGGTGAAGGTATAAATTGAAGCTAGTGCTCTTCTAATGCAGTGTGACAGTTTGTACTGATCAGGTTAATGAGGATAATTTCTTTTTGGCTTGTATAGAGGCATGAAAATTTAATCTGATTTGCTATTAATTACTCTGTCCAGTCATTAACATAATACTTCACTAAACAGAGAAAATCTATTCACATTGCAGAAGCAAGTGTAGCAAACAAAGCACAATAATAGAAAAGTGTTGCCCCTTGTGTTCAGCGGGGAAGCTGTGCTGCAACTGTGAGCAGGACATGCACTTTGACACGCTTCCCTCCAGTGAGGATGGGCCTTTCCGAGCCGAACACTCTCCCCCAGTTCCCTCCGGGGAATTGCACACGTTGGTGAGATGATAGGCAGGGAATACAGAGGTACATTGTGGTTTTGGGAACAGAGTGAAACTAATTGGCCCACAAGAAGATTAAATAAACACATCTTGACTGAGAGCAGCACAATGCTTTATCAAATAAATGAAATGACTTTAAATGGCTCCTTTTCATTATTTTATTAACAAGTATTTATTGAACAATTGTTCTGCTTTAAGGATGTTCTGGGTACTGAGGCTATAGTTCTAAGAAAACAGGTACAGATCCTGCCGTTGTGAGGATTATAGTCCAGGTAGAGGATCTCTCTCTCCCCTCCTCCCTCCTCCCCTCACTCCCTTTCCTCTTGTGAGAAAGAAAGGAGAAAGTCAGGGTGTTCTAAGAACATATTATAAAGAAACTGGGCCTCCCCGGTGGCGCAGTGGTTGAGTGCTGGGTTGCAAAGCTTCCCGCGGCCTCTGCGGCGCCGGTTCGATCCCCGGCTGCTCCCCGGCCACCGGAGGGAGGGTCCCACATGGCACGCAGACCTCTCCTGCTGCGCCCGCTGCTCTCCTCAGCAGTGTATTTCGTCAGTTTGCCTGTTCTGTTCACCACTCTGGCTCTGGTGAATTCTCTAACCCTCCCGCGCGTCTGACTGTACCCAGTGCTTGTATAAATAAACAAACAAATAAAAATAAATAAATAAAAATACATGCCTCTTAAAAAAAAAAGATTTAAAAAAAAAAAGGAACAAATTATAAAGAAACTGGATAGGACCAAAGAAAGAAACATGTGAAGGAGTGACAACGGGGAGAAAGAATAGAACGTGGGAATATTTGGGGACATAATGGAGTTTGAGGAACTTAAAGACATCAAGGGAGGGAAGGAATTCAGAGAGCAAGAAAGCAACAAAAAAAGAAACTGGAGATGGAGACAAGCGTCCTGTCTTTTTCAGCCATGCCTGGGCTCTAGATCAGCTGTACGTACCGAATGTTGTGACAGGTAAAGCGGTCACTTCCATGAGGTATTTGGACTTTATCCTTAAGGGCCGTGGAAAGCTGTTGATGGTTTCTAAGCTCTGTTGATGTTAGGGTGGATGTTATTAAATTTGCCAATGGCCAATACACGAAGTAACCCCTCAACCTATCTAAAAAACCCGAACTAAAAAACAAGACGTGTGCATGGAGCCAACGAAGCATTGCCTCTCTGTACCTGCACAGAAGGCTAGGAAGAATCCCTGAGAGGCTGAAAAGTAATTACACTTCTACTCTGGATCCATGTCTTAACCACAAGGAGTGTGTTCTACAGGCTCTACTTCCTAATTGAGGGTAATTACAAGAAGTTAAAACTAGATTAGAGACAATTAGACCCTACACAAGAGGGAGTTCTGTGGGTGGTCGGGAAGGCAGTAGGAAGAACCAGCTTGGAAAGTGTTTTCCAAACTGCTTGACATTCTTTGACTCACATTGTTGGTGTTTTCTTTTTTTTTTGGGGGGGGGCGGGGGTGTCTGTATATGCTCCTAGCAGTGCTTGCCTGGAGAAAAATGAAGTGAAAAACAGCAACAACAACAACATATATCACTGACAGCCAATCAAGATTAACTTTTTCTGAAGCTAAAGTGCTTCATAAGCCAGAAGCCTATAAAATCAAAATAAAATGCTTCTGCACAGTGAAGGAGACTGTAAGAAAAACAGAGAGACACTCTACAGAGTGGAAGAAAAAAAATTGCAAACCATATCATACAACTCAACAAAAAGAAAACAGGTAACCCAATCAAAAAATGGGCAGTTCTCCAAAGAAGACATACAGATGACCAATAGGGACTTGAAAAAAATGCTCATCATCACTTAACATCAAGGAAACACAAATCAAAACCACAACAGATACCACTTCATACCCATGAGAATGGCTCATGTCCAAATGACCAGAAACAACAAATGCTGATGTGGGCGTGGACAAAACAGAACCCAATTATACTGCTGGCAGGAAGAGTGCAGGCCCTGTGGAAAGCTGTGTTTGGGTCTCTCAAAAGACTGAAGTTGGATCGGCCATGTGATCCAGCATTCCACTCCTGGGTATTTACCCAAAGAACACAAAAACACTAATTCATAAGGAAGCCTGCACCCCTATGTTCATTGCGTACTATTTACAGTGGCCAAGATATGGAAACCATCTAAGTGCCCAAGGACAGATGATTGGATTAAGATGACATGGTATATGCGCACAAGGAATACTACTCAGCTATCAAAAATATAAACTCAGGCCATTTGCAGCAACATGGATGGAGCAGGAAGAGATAATGCAAAATGAGATAAGTCAGGAGAAAGATAAATATTGGATGGAATCACTAATCTGTGGAATATAGAGAAACCAAACTAAGAACCAGAGACAGAAAACCTTATAAGCTAACTCTTGAAAACTGAATATATAACTGAAGCTTATAAAAGGGAGGGAGCAGTGGACTAGGAAAAAAGAGAGAAGGAAGCACAAATGACTACAGTGGCGGACTGTGGGTGATTTGGTGGCGGGTACCCTGTGGTGGTGATTCCTGATGTTATCCTAATGTTATCCTAATGTTATCACAAATAAAAGAATAAATAAATTTATTATAAAAAATAGAAACTAAGAGGAGAGGAAGGTGAGGATTGCTTTGCAGTTACATTGAAGACAAATTATTTGAGCAACTACTTTTTTGTCCCTCTCTGGATCCAGAAAGATATTGTAGGAGTGGCGTGGCAAGCTTATGATCTTGTCTTGAAAGAGCTGCCAAGTCTACTTGAGAAGTTTGCATCTGCTGTTGCATAAAGGAGGAGAAGGAAGCTGGTGAGGGTTGAGCTCAAGAGGTGGCCGGAAGCCAGGCTGAGGAGCCCTGACTCCACCCCGGGGGCATAGAATCACTGAGGACAATAACCAGGGCAAGGAAGGGATCAGGTTTAGATTTTAGAAAGATACATTGGACCACTGTGGGGAGGGTAAATGAAGGGGCAGGGCAAGGAGCAAGATTGGGGGGGGGGGATCAATTGGAGTTGCTTATGGTGGGAGCTGGAGATATCTATGATCATGAGGAGGAAACTGGAGAGAAGAGGCCAGTGTGGGCAGAATAAAAGTGACTAACTTTACTGCCTTCATCCACCAAGCATCTATGGCTTTCATTAATCATTGATTCATTCAATCAACAAATAATTATGTTGCATCTGCTCTGTGCAGAGCACCATTCTAGGAGACACTAAGAGAAATAAGGAATATGTTATTCTAGTCTTCAAGAGGCTCCATTAACTAACTGTTCAAGTGAGTGGGACAGTCAATAGCTGCTCTAGGATTTCAGGGATGGTTCTGAGCGGTAGAGAGGTGGTGATCTATGAAACTACAGATGACAAGGAGAATGTTCATGAAGCCTGAGGATGCACAATAAAGGGCATTGCTAGGCAGCAGCTGAGGGTGTATACTGGAAAATACTACAGATACATTAGATGGGTAGGGTATGGTGAGAATATGTGTATGTATGTGTTTGTGTGTGCGTGTAAGCATGCTTGTGCATGTGTGTGTGCACATGGGAGCAGGTGTGTAATGGAACCAAAAAACTTAGATCTAGCAGATATGTCTATGAGAGAGAGAGAGAGAGAGAGAGAGAGAGAGAGAGAGAAGAGAAGAGATTGAGAGACTTTTGTGGTAGACAAGTGAACAAGTTTGGGTCTTTTGAATTTTCCCATAAAAGGCATCTATGTATGGTGGTACTGCCTGACAGAATCACATTTGTCTGCCAAACTTAATTTCACCATGAAGGATTAACTTGGAATTCTCAAGAACATGAGGCTAGGATCTGAAAGTGGGCCTCTGCTCTGCTGGTCATTTCCCTGGAAGAAGGGGGCAGCAATGGTCTGAATCCCCAAATACTCAGTCAGCCTAGTGCCTGGCCTCCTTCACAGAAGCCCAGGTGACTCTGAGAAAAGGGACTCCCTAGGGATGGTGAGGGCCTTAGGTCCCCTTAGCATAGGCCCACCGACTCACGAGCCTCCTCACTGCCTTCTTAACATCCTTGTTTCTCAGACTGTACACGATGGGGTTGATCATGGGGGTGACTACAGTGTAGAGCAGGGAGAAGATCTTGTTAAGGGTAGCCGCCTGGGTTGCCGTGGGAATGGCATACACTGTCCCCAGTGTCCCGTAATACAGAGTGACCACTATGAGGTGGGAGGAGCATGTGGAGAAGGCCCGTTGCTTTCCTGCAGCCGATGGGATTCTGAGGACGGCAGCAACAATGCGGACATAGGAGGCCACGGTGAGCAGGAAGGGCACCATGGTGACAAAGGTGGCCATGAGGAAAGTGGTTTTCGCCACTGTCTCGGAATCAGAACAGGCCAGCTTCAGCACAGGGGCTAGGTCACAGAAGAAGTGGTCAATCTCATCAGCTGTGCAGAATGGCAGCTGGAAAGTCATGGTGACTGTGAGCACGGGGGTCAGGAACCCCCCCAGCCAAGACCCACCTGCAAGCAGGATGCACGTGCGGATAGTCATGAGGTTTGGGTACTGGAGGGGGCTGCAGATGGCCAGGTATCGGTCATAAGACATGGCTGCCAGCAGAAAGCACTCCACGACTGCCATGGAACCGAAAAAGTAAAACTGGGCCGCACAGCCTGCAAAGGAAATGGCCTCGTGGCCCGAGAGAAGGGTCTGCAGCATCTTAGGGGAAATTGAGGTAGTGTACCAGATCTCGAGGAAGGAGAAATTGGACAGAAAGAAGTACATAGGAGTTTGCAGGCTGCGATCAAGGGAAATGACTGTAAGTATGACAATGTTCCCCATCAAGGTAACTACATAGACTCCCAGAAATATTCCGAAAAGGAAATACTGTAACCCATGGAGGCTCCCAAATCCCAGAAGAAGAAATTCTCTGATCATGGTCAGATTACCCATAGCTGTAAGACTCATGCATTAGACCTGAGAAAAAGAGAGAAATACAGCCAATTGGAAAAAGAGCAGTGCATCAGAAATGCCATCTGGTGTATAACTCAAAGGCCCTGTCTTTTCTCTTCTGGAACAAATCTTCTGTTTCGTGCTTCTAGGTGTATTTACCTAGTAGGTCCTGCAGAGTGAACAGAGAGGGCATGGCTGCCCTGTTCCACTCTTCACTTCCACATAACCTGCCTGTGTCTACCTTTGCGAGTCTTGCAGTGGGAGGCAAATACCTCTTAATGGTGGTATGGTGTGTGGAAGCTTCTCTGAACTTCTGAAATACAGTTTGTAAGACTCAATAGAAGTGTGAGTACACAATTCTTAAAAATAAAATCAAAATTCAGACCACCTTATCTCCCACTGAACCCCTAAATCAGGGTGGTATTCACCCCGAATGTAATTGGAGGGAGGAGGGGAATTCAGAACTATTGGTCTTAAAGTACCTGTAAGAAAAATAAGAGTTTCTGCCAGGCTCTGGGGACACGTAGCTGATTGCTTCCATGGCATCAAATTCCTATGGAAATTGGGGAGAAATGTATGTAAAGTTATTCACTTGAAATGTTAGAGAAAAATAATGTTCCATCCTTCATAAATGAAAATGACATTCCTGACTCACAAGCAGTAGGATGTGCATTTAGAGGTGTTTTTTTCCAGCAACTGAGATGGGTTAGCAGTGAGTCACGGCTGCGCTCCCCCTTCGCCACCAGTCCCTCCTGGAGCTGGAAGACCTGTGTTGTGAAATGGCTGGCTGGCCTCAGTGCCCCGGGCAGGCCGTGGTGGGATTACATGCTGGTCTGTGGTATGGCCTGCATTAGGGGCAAGTGTGGGGCCAGTTCGAAGCTCCTTTCAGTTGGTGTTCTAGGCTGAAGGCTCCATTGGTGACCAGGGAATAAAGTGAAAAGTCATCTTCAATGCTTTGCTTTAGGTGATGACAATGTGTCCCTAAAAGGTTAAAGTTAAGTCCTATTTTAAAAATGAAATCCTGTTTTAAATTCATTCAGAGAACTGGCTATTCAAAGGAATCCTATTAAGAATGCTTCTCTAATATGAGTGGATTTCTCCATAATTTGCCCTTTGTGCCAATCTGGATTGTAATACGCTGGGCTTACATAAAGAAAGGTCCACCTATAATGGGGGTAGCCAGGACATTTAGGGTGCCTAAGGTGGTACTGAATATAATTAAAGTGTTTAAGGAAAATCAATCAGCAGCTAGAGTTGCCCCTGGGGGTGACAGCTGCTTCCTAATTGGGGGATTAAACTGCAGTGTCCTATTACCATTTTGCCTTGTCTTCAGAGACTGCCAGCCAGCATTCAGAACCAACATTAAGATCATTAGATTTTTATCATTCAATCCCAAGTCTCATTACTTAATAATGGAATAAACTTGATTTCCCCTTTTGGTGAACAGACGTGCTCCTTGGTGCCTCCAAATCAAAGACTCACGAGCCTCCCTAACTTCTCTCCCACCCTCTCTTTTCTGGCCACGAAGACAGATTAGACATGCAGAAGAGTCTTCAACTCAAAATTCTCTCCATTCTTTCATCCATTCGTTTGTTCAATGGCCACATATTTGGGATCCTACTATGTGTCACTTATCGGGCTGGGTAAGCATCAGGGATAAAATCATGAGCAACCAAGGCGTGGTCTCAACGTCCCCAGCATTTACATTACATCCTGGTAGTGGAGGAAAATATTAAACAAAGGATTTAAAAGATAACCGTGAAACCCCCACTATAGGTGGACCTTCCTTTATGTAAGCCCAGTGTATTAACAATCCAGATTGGCACAAAGGGCAAATTATGTGATGAATGCTATGAGGGAAAAATGTGGGTCCTGATACAAAGAATAATCTGCCTGGAGAGGTGATTTAGTTTTGGCAAGATGGTCAGGCAAGGGCTCCCTAGGAGTCAGATTTGAGTTGAGATCGGACAGACAGGCAGCAGTTGCTGTGAGGAGAGGCAGAGGGGGGCTATTACACTAGAGAGGCAACACATGCAAAGGCCCTGAGTGAGAAAAGCACCTGGGTACTGGGAGAATTAAAACAAATAAGGAAATAACAAGACAGCATCAAGATAACCACTGGTGGGAAGCAGGTAGGGGGACAAGTGATAGGGGGTGAATTTGTCCAAGGCACGAACTGATTTATATTTCGAAAAAAAAATAATCCTTGAAGCTTTTATGTTGAGAATAGCCTGTAAGGGGAATAAAAGGGAAAATGAGAAAACTGGCGAGGAAGCTAAGACAGTATCTAGGTAAGAGATGGTGCCAAGGATCAGGCTGGTTATTTTTAGGGTGCTTTTATGTGGTAGACTTGATATACGTTTGTGCACTTTTCTGAATACATATTATACTTGAATAAAAAGTTTACCCTAATGAAATGACCTGAATTGCAGATGAAGTGTATTGGAAGAGGGCGTGAAGGACAGGGAGGAAATAAAGATGAATCCTAAGAATTAGGCTGAGCAAATTTCATGAATGACTCTCTTTCCCTGAGATTGGGAAGACCTAGGACATAATTTAGTTTGGGAGAAATTTTCTTCTCCCTCCCCTGGTCCCATCCTTCCTGTCAGATCTAGTGGGCTCTTGATCCATAGCTGAGATGATCGTTTCAATCCTTTTGTGAGTCAGTAATCTGGTAACAAACAGCTCTCATTGTTACCACACAACAAGTTCTTAAGTAGAAAGTGAACAAATTCTTGCTCCTGGTCTCAAAAGGGAGCAGACAAGAAAGGAACGGGGTCATTATAACCTTTATCACCCTGTAGAAATTGCTCAAAGCCCAGGGTTAGCAGCTGTACAGCGGGCGCACCCTCTGCATATGAAACGCAGGAAAACCCAGTCCCGGGGCACGGTTAGACGCCCTTCCATGTCAATCTGGAGAACTTTTGCTAATGGCAACCCAACTACCCAGAGCTTTCAATTATCTGCATTTTTTTTTAAATTCTGTGTTGTCTCATTTTGTTTTTGCATGAAAGAGATAGATAACGAAACAACCTCAGTCAAGAAAACAATTTTCAGATGTCCTGGGGTCGAAATACTCTCCGTCCTACCCTTTCTCTCTTCTCCCTCTTCATGTGCAGTTTTGACCAATCAGAATTAATGCTAAAAATAATGACCAGAGGCTCTGAAGGATCTTCAATCAGTAAAGAATGATTCAAGTATATCATTATTCTTGATTTAGTGAATTCGGACAGTGTACTCACATATCTTAACAGTTTTTTTTTTTTTGAAAACAGTGGAAAGCAGCTTTGTTCTTAACTTTCAGTTACCCAGAAAATCTAATTAAACATATACCCTTTCCCCCTTTTCCCTGGTAGCCTCTTAATAAGGATTTGTCTTTTCCTATGTCCTTTACAATCACCAAAAGATAATCATTAGCAAGAAAAATGTTCGGTGCACAATATAAAATACCCTTCCCCAACTCACTTCCCCTCACCACCTGCCAGATGCTAATAGTTGCCAAAGCATTATCATAAAATGGAAGGTGTAGCAGAATAACTAGGGAGTGGAAGACTATAGAAATCCAAACTCATTATCTCTTTTAGTGTCAATCTAGGAATACCTCTTGGAAAGAGGCGTGGTGAGGAGGGATCTGAAGAATGGCAGCTGAAGGTTAACTGCTGGATGGGAGAAACACACAGCTTGATAAGGAGAGACATGCTATGAATCAGTTACCATATGATCCAGTGATTGCATATATGTATATAAATATATATATGTCCATGTATGTAGATACAGAAATTACGAAGAAGTATCTTCACTCCCATCTTCTTCGCTGCAGCATCATTGACACTATCCACGTATGGAAACAGCCTAAATGTCCACTTATGGATGAATGGACGAAGAAAACCTATAAATAGGAATATTATTCTGTCTTCAAAAATGAAGGAAATGTTATCATTTGCAACAACATGATGAACCTGCGGGGATTATGCTAGCTGAAATAAGGTAGAAACAGAAAGACAAATGATGTATGATTTCACTTATATTTGGAATCTAAAAAAGACAAACTCATGGAATTAGAGAGCACAACAGTTACCCTCTGCAAGGGGAAAAGGGGAGACATTGGTCAAAAGATACAATCTTTCATAAGATGAATAAATTCTGGCAATCTAGGGTACAACATGGTGGTCAGAGTTAATAATTACTGTATTGGATACTTCAGATTTGCTGAGACAATAGATTTTAAGTGTTCTCACCACACACACAAAAATGAAATTAACAATGTGAAGTGATGGATGTGTTAATGTACCCTGATTTCAGTGTGTTCATATATCATTTTGTTAGACATCCTTTAAAAAGTCAGATATGTAGTATTCCAATCCCCACACCTCTGTCCATTAAAAAAAATTGAGCAACAAATACATAATACTCAAATGTGCTCTTAGATCTTTATTTTCCCAAAAGTTATACCAGATTGATATAAGGGAAAGTTTGTTTAATGATCAATATCAGGGGCAATTGGTAGGCACAAAAGATGATCTCGGTAATCCAGCCTAACAATTTAGGTCATCCGTTGGTCCAAGTACACATATACCCGCCCTTGCAGGTGAGATCTGTGAGAAACTGGGCTGCTGAGCAGAAAAACCTCCCAGAGACAGAGTCTTTAAAAGAGCAAAGCAGAGAAGAAATTGTTAACTTGTTTCATGCTGCTCTTCTACAAATACAGGAAGTTGTTTTTTTTTTTTTTTTGTCAACGCTTATATGTAATACCTTTCTTGAATAATTTAAGTTTATGTTACTCAGCAAGAAAATTTGGTTAAAGGTTTCCTTTGAACACAGCTTGTAGAACATTATAGACGGTTCACTTTTTAAGCAAATTGCACATTAATGTGAGAAACCCGTTGGTGTCCAGGGAAATGATTTTGTTATTTGTGTTTTTATTCCTTGAGATTTGCAGACAGGCATTATTGAAACCCGGAGACGGGCATTACTGAGATGTTTAAAACAAACATTATTGA